TTTAAAAAAAATTAAATATATATATTTGTAAAGTAAAGAAAGAAAACTTAAAAAATCACACTATATTATTTATGAATTTAAAAAGTTTTATTCAATAAATAAGAACTTTTATATTAACAAATTTAGAAACAATTAATACAATAAACAAAATAAACAATATAAAATTTTATATGATTAGTTAGCTATACAAAATTTTGCGTACAGCGCATATACGTGATTCTCTTATTGTGTGCGTATAAGTCGTGTTTGTATTTTGGCATCATTATATGCATCTACTTTTTCATAAATAGCATATACATATATATTGTATTTTTTTGAGAAAGTAAACAAATGTCACATAAATAATTATCTTACATTATATTATAAAGATTATGTTAAATATTATCTTAAACAGTTATTCTGTATTAGATAAAAATTGTTAATAAAATCAGTGCAAGACAAAATTTTTGCTGCAAAGATTCATTTAAAACCAAAACAAAATTTAAATTTTCATTAAATTAAAATGTGTAATAAAGCAATACAGTATCTTTACAATATATTATATCTTGAATCTTATGCAATCTTAGACAAGATTCAGGAGAACTCCTCTTGACCGTGCGTGCGCGCCCTTCCATATGAATTAGGCTCCTCACGGCGCTTTAATTCCCGAGTAATTTAATTTATGTCTTTCCTGGGTACGTTCGAGTGGCGTTGGCAAGTTTAATGAGCGGGCGTAACAGTTCCTCCAGCAGAGGAAATGGACGATGATTAGGGGGAGTAACAGAATGTTCGCCGAGTACGCTCTGCGGCTACGTAAGAATATTTAGTGTGTTGCTATGGAAAGGTTTCCCCAAGTTTCTCGAGACGCGATTTCTTTCGATTTTACAAAGAGCGATTACAAGCGCGATGATGTTCGGATTATGCCGGCAGCGATGATACTTCTCGCACACAACTATGTGTAAATTGCAGATATGTATAACACGCAAATCAATATATACATGTGTATGGCGTGAATTGGAGCAAATCGGAACGACGAGAAACCACATCGTCTCTTTTATTTTACGCGGTAAAGTAACTGAGTCGAGCATATGGCCGATGAACCGGCCGGCAAACGATCATCGATGTATGTAATGTACAGGATGTCCCATATAAATAGGGCGCAGATTGGTACTATTTCTTGTCAAAAAAGATATTTTTCCTCTGGCAAAATTTGCAGAAACGCATCGTTCTCAAAATATAATTTTTTTAATTATTTCAATAAATGCATCGGCTGTTTTTTCGTATAAATAATTTTTCGTGTAAATATTTTTATAAATCTGCTTATTAAAAGTCTGATATACAATATATATTTTCATAAAATTATTGAAGGAATTTTACTTGATGAATAAATTCGTTATAAAAAAATTAATTATAGATCAATTGGAATGATCAAAATTTCTACGCGAAAAATCAAAAAGCAAATACATACATTGAATAGATTAAAAAATAGCGATGCACTTTTGAAATTTTGTCAAAAAGATTAAAGTTTATTGTCCGACAAAGAATACAATTTATCTATATGAGATATCCTACAGATACGGGTCGATTGTGATTCATATTAATCTTTGCACGGTAGATTTGCAGCGACATTTTAGCGATGCGATAAGATGTCGTTTGCATAACACACGTGGGTGGGACACGCCGGATGATGTTGAAAAGATGCACTTCCATAATCCAAACATCCCGTTGCGCGGAGGAAACCGACCGAGAAGCGCTACGGCAAGTCTGATAAAAGCACACGAAGAGCAGACGAACGGTCGCACCACGCTATTGCCGGTACCGGCATCGAAGTCTACAACGATGTCGGTCGAATTCAAAGATTTAACTCGAAGAAGAGATATTGGCTGCGCCGAAAGCCCTCGATTACAACGTTATAGAAAAATTTGATGCGAAATAGACTGTAAGATTCACGACAAGACAATATTCGTAAAAATATTATATTGGTTAAAAATTTTCGAAAACTTACTCTTATCTTGATCTAAGTGAATCTTTGTAAAAATCAAGAGAAATCAGAAGATTAGTCGTGCAATTTCTAATGCAAAACAATTGCATTATTTCGTGCAATTTCTAATGCAAAACAAGTTCTCAAAACTAGATCAAGTTTTCTAACTTGTTTTATTAATTTTAATTAATTTTATATTAATTTTAATTTAAAATATCTACTCAAATCTTATAAAAAAATCTTATAAAAATTCTCTGAAAATTCTCTGAGATCTACTAGATATTTTTATTCAAAATTCCAACTAAAGAAAATATTTTTTTATGCTTTTTTAAAAATATTTTTTAAAATATTTTTTTTTATTTTATGCATTTTCTCTTCAATATTCTTCGCTCGATACGAAAAAAAGACATAAAGCTTAAGTTTCAAGTGTTAGATTTGCGAATATACTTAAAAAACTGAATAGCTTTCATAAGATAAATATTTTTTACTCGCATAACATTTTTATTTTTTATCAAAAATATATAAATTTTAAAAAATTATAACGAAAAATGTGTATTGCATATTCAATATTTTTCTAAGATATGAAATATATAAATGGAGAGACAAATATATATTTATAATATATATTTTAAATTATATTTTAATAATATTTTAAACATACATAATTAACAATTTAGCTTGTCAACTGCTTACAATAAATTATTAAAGAGAGAATTTTTTTTAAATTTTCCAAGTTTCAATAAAATTCCATAAAAATTCCCTGATTTTTCCAGCTAAATTCCTGAGTATTCCAGGTTTTCCCTGTTTTTTTTAGTTGACACCCTCTTTAAATATCTACAAGTATGCATATAAAAGATATCTTAATTATAGACTCGATTGCAATTTTAATCATCTGATACACGATCGCTTGTTAATCTTGAAAGAATAAAAAGACTTAATAACTAGTGCAGGAAAAAAAGGATTAATGAGACAAGCTATTTACGCGAAGAAGAAACTCGCTGACGTCTGCAAATTAGACGACGAATGACGGACGCGACCGGAGCTAGTGTTCCGGAAGTATGACAACGGTAATGGATAACTGGAAATTGCGCTCATGTCCCATCGACACTACGGAACGTACGTATTTACAACACGCACATGCATACGCGCGCGCGCGGTCCCGCAGATATAGCGAAGATATATTGACGGTGGCTCTCGACCGAAGTCACGTTCGGCATCGTGACGGTATTTTGAACGACCGTCAGAGATCATAGCAGCTGCACGCGGAGATCACAGCAGCCGTAACGCTTTAACGCCTCCCGATCGTGCGGCTACCCATAACGCGACCTTTTCTGCAGTCGAACTTGATATGAACTCGCGTCGAGTCTCGGTCACTGACTCAAAATTACGCACCCCGATATTAAATAATCCAGTAAACATTGTTTGTTGCAATATTATGATGTGGAAGTTACAAATAACACAAGTTACCTATATGATATAAAATTGTAATATATCATACATATTTTTTTTTATTGGTACATATAATATTGTTATGTACGTATGTGTTTCTTTACTTGCTATTATGCAGCGAAACTAGGATTAACTCGTATTCAATTATTTGAAATTGAACGTGTAAATATATGAGAAATAGTCTATTTATTGCCTATTTAAAAGTAAAAATCGAAATTTTTGTATAAATCCTGAATTTTATAAATTATCACATTTGTAATTAGAGTTAACTAGAGTTAACTAGAGTTAATTAGAGTTAACTAGAGTTAACTCGCATTTAATTTCTCATCATGAAATGAATTAAAAAAACTTATGAATATAAAGCTTATAAATGAATATAAAGGACGAATACTAAGATTCAAAGTCTCTGTTTCCTCTAATTTTCAATACAATTTCATAAGAGGTTTAGAACATTAAATAGATTATTTGAAATTGAACGCGTAAATATATGAAAAGTAGTCCATTTATTGCCTATTTGAAGGTAAAAATCGAAATTTTTGTTTAAATCCTGAATTTTTATAAATTAACACATTTGTTTTATTTATTTAATTATCAACTTTATATGATCAATATTTTATAATCTACATGAACTATAATTACGATATAACTGCAATGTAACAACGTAATATTACATGTTATATTACATGTTATATTTATGAATGGGAAATTATAATTAATGCAATAATTTACTGATGATATTTATGTAATGTATTATTTCTAACATTCAGTTTCATTGCTTTGATAACATTAATATAACAGTGTTTAGAAAGTACCTGATTCGAAGAAGAAAACATTATTTTACTTAGTTTATGATCCTATAATTGATGTGTAACTTTGTAAATATAGTTGTGATGCAAAATTTAAAAAATATTATAGCGTTTTCGAATAAGGTAAGTTTGATAGCTCTGAGAATGATTAATGATGTCATAAACTCCGTCTTAGAGTATTAGAGGTACTTAGATAATTAGATTAATCAATGAAATATTTCGAATAAGCGTTTGATTGATTAATCAAGGATAAAAATCTTGTATTTTAAAGTCAAAATATCAAACATATTATATTATTAATTTATTATTAATTTATTATTATATTATTAATGTATTATTTAATTAAATTTAACTTATTTTTGGTCAAACATATGTTCATGATAAATATTTAATCGTTCTCAGACTAATTGTGAATCTGTTTCACTCAAAATAACCATTAATATCGTGATATCATCGTTGATCTTAATTATAATTATCGTTATTTTCAAAAAAGTAACAATATCAAAAATATTATAAATATATAATATTTAAATATATAATATTTAAAAATATTGAAACAAAATTTTCGAATTATAAATGAAAAAAGTTTTTCGAAAACTTTATGAAATTACAAAAATTGGAATTTTTAGTTAATTTCAAGCGGACATACTTTTCCAATTTTTTAGACATTAATACAATTTTCATTTTAGACTCAATTATAAAACTAAAAAATTAGAAAAATGCCATATATAAACAGGTTCATTAGCTGTAATTCGTATTATTGCTATTTTAAACGGAAGTATTACCTTCGATCGCTCTCAGAGGACCAAGCTGGTCCGCGATATGGTAAATCCACGAGTCTTGGTGTAATCACTTCATCCGCGCTCACTTCGACTCAATGTATCCTCGTGATTCATCTCGTATCTCGGTATGCAACGACAACCACGGATTTCCGACGGGAACGAACACGATCGTACGACGGGGAAGCCACCATCGCGCGTGATTCACCGTGATTCACGATGTGGACTAACTAATTCCTCGATGCCGCCTGCTGGGACCGATTCGCCGAAAATCAGTTCCTCATCTTGGCGAAATTTTAATATCAAATACACTTAAAAAAATTTAATATAAACTATGTTTAATAAATTTTGTGGAGATTCGATTGACGATCTTTGAAATATACGCTTTTCACTTGTGTCAATATCGAATGGATTGATTAAATAAATCTCGAGATGGTCTGATTGTCTGATCGCGTCGCATTCTGTTGGATTAGAAACACACGATGCAGTCGTTTGGAAAGAAAAGAATTCCACGATGATACCAAATTCTTCGACGAGTATGTAAATGATTCGGAAAATAATATCTCTGTCATTTAATTTCGCGCACATGCATTATTTTCTGATGATCACCTGATGATGGTTCCTTAAAATTATTAATGAATCGTTTCTTCTCGATTTTTCGGCTCATGATCTCACTTAATCAAGTTGAATCGAAATATCATTTACGGAAGTTGAAGTTTGCAGTCAGGCCAAGTGAAATGACAAACTTGCGATAAAAAAATTCGCACAGGAACAAGAAATTCGTCGCGATGCGCGAAGTCAGAAGTAGAAGAAGAGAGTCGACGAAACCGAACGGTTGAGGTTTAGCCGTGACGGACGTCGGGCTGGTACTGAACGGCTTAACCGGTATATACAACTACTGACCGTCATCATCGCAGCCATCACCGGTCTCTCCCTCTCGTTCTTTCTCTCTACTCCTGTTTTTCTTTCCCGTCTCTCTTTCTTTCTCTCTCTCTCTCTTTCTCTTTCTCTTTTCTCGTTCGCCATCTTCTTCCGTGCCATCCTCGTCCACCGCTAACTATTATCGCCACCGTCGTCACACTCGACCTTCTTCCACAAACGTAGATATATACATATCTCTTATGGCAGCACATCGTCTTCAGGGTATCTGCAAGGTTACCGATCGAAAATCGGACATCAAAATCGAACGCGCGGGCGAAATTAAGGCTGAACTTTTAGTAAATTATAATAATCTACGTATAAATAATGTAAATTACAATAAATAATTTATAAAATATATAGCTTATCAAAAATGTTTTACTTATACTGATTTAAACATAACGATATAATTTTAATACTTTATGATGTTATAAAAAATTTGAAAATTCAACAAGTTAAATTTCATACTAATAGAAACAAAATAAAATGTATATTCTATGAAAATATATATTCTATATATTATATTACATAAATATTATATAAATATTGAATATTATATATATTATATTATATAAATATTATATATTATATATATTACATAAATATTATATAAATATTGTGTTATATTAATATTATTTTGTAATATAATTACCATTTCTAGCATTTAATTTATAACAGTTTACATGAAAAAAGTCGTGTGAACATCATGTATATACATAATGCGTAAATAATTCATGTAAACATAATTTTAAAATCTACGATATAATCCTCGCTTCGGGTAACGTACGATCAATAACGGAAGGTTAACGGAGGAATAGATATAGCGGAACGTCCGATATCGCGAGATACATCCAGAAAGAAGGAAGGGTGGCAGGAGCTCCTGCGTTACTTTCAGCTTCCGCTTCGCTACCGTTATGCCACCGTTGAAGGGAGAAGAGAATTGTTTTTGAATTAACTATTATAATAGTTATACAGCCTAATCTCGCATACATCATAGAACGGCGTGTCGCGTGACTCGTTTAAGTTTTCATTATTCTCTTCACAAGCATTACAATGAGTCGTTGTATCATTACGTTGCTTTCTGACTCAAAAAAATGTTTTGCTGATGTAAATAGATTTCTAGATGTAATGATAAAAATTTATTTATTATTGTATTTGCTAGAACATTGTAACATGTATAATTTATAAGAGCAAATTCTAGTCACACCTTGTAACAAATCTAACAATAAGTTCCATGGTCAAATATTAATCATTATAAATATTAATCATTGAATAAATAATTTCGATGATGTCAGAATAATCTTATGAAAATTTATTCTTCTGTGTATTTAATTAAACTTCATAACAAGTAATGATTAATCTAATTAATTCTAATGATTAACTTTAACATGGATAAGCATCAGAATAATTTTCTTTCTAAATTTCACTAACAGTTTAGATATAAATTCTATCTCTGTCATTTAGATTAATTAAATGCAAATTGCAAATGCAAATATGCGATATCATATTTTGCTAATTATTTATCTATCTCAATTAATCTTTTATACCTAGAAAATTATTATTGTAACAAGACCATCTTTTTGAGAGTTTACTCTAGATTTTTCTTCATTCTCAATATAATATTAACGAATTAATTTAGATTTATAATGATACAAGAATTGAAAGATTAATAATGATATAAAAAATATCTATATAAGCGTCCGATATCTATCTACACATCATCATATCATTGTTCTCCAAAATATTTATATTCTGCTTCATAAGGCTTCAATTAAAATCTCAAGCGATTGTAGCACACTTGGCAGGAGAAAAAAAAATTAATGCGTCCCAAAAAAGACGTATACAATCCAACTACAGATTGAGAAACGTGAGCCCGATTTCGGAAATATGGACGTGTATATACGAGGCACCGTTTTCTCCATCTCACCCGTAGAAATCTGTGGTTGTGTAAACGCGGTAAGAAACGAGAATGCGGCACGAGACGCAGCTAAAAGACCGATGCAGAGAGCGAAGGAGAAGATTTTGATTTAAAAAGAGAGAGGGGGGGAGGAGGGAGGAAGAGAGAAAAAACGGTACACAAGAGATGAAGAAGAAATTGAGAAACTAAGTGAGCGCTATTATATGCATACAGGTGAGATCGTCAATGAAGATTGTACGTTAATTCGTCGTTAATCTGTCGCCTCGGATGAACGTGCGTAGTCACGTACGCCGGTAGCGTTATCCAAGTCAGTAAAGAGGAATAAAAGACTCCCGTCTTGAGTATGGGATACGAAAATTGCACCGCAATTTTATCAATTGCAACATCGCGTTTATGCAATTGTGTCCGAGGGATTATTTCAATGAGACAGCTTATCATTTGCCACTCATGAGATTTGATAGCGAGCAGCGCGATTATTGAAATTGTATAATAAAACATGGAAACAAGTATCGCACTACATGTATTAAGAAATACGAATTACTATATAGGGTGTTCCGATAAAGATAAGCAATCTCTCGTGGACATGTAGAGCAGATAAATAACTTCATAAGTTGCTAAATAAAATTTTTTTCTGCAACGCATTTTCACTGAAATATTTGTCTTTAAAATTAAGATTTTTAGAATCATTTTTCTTTTCAGTAACTTTTATATTACTTTGTACATTTTAATAATTTGTAATAATTATTTTTACGTAAAGAGCAAAGAGACAAAATAGCATGATAGATTTCTTTTGATCACTTTGGAGAACTAGGAACGTATTACCTATAACTTTTATTTTAACTTAAAAACTTTGAAGTCAATAAATTATATACATATATGTTTTTTATATTTTTAAATATATTTTTAGATTCTCTATATCTTTTTCTAAATATAAATACTCTCGTTTTATTTCGTCAAAATTAATAATTTAGAGAAAAATAAATTTAATCGATAGAAAGAAATAAATAATGATGATAATAAAATGATAAGAGATGTCTGAATAAAAATTTTAGAAGAAATTAAAGAGTTATCTTTATCCGTTCTAAATGCCCACGAAAAATTGCTCATCTTTACAGAAATACCTTGTATAAATATTACTTTTGAATATACATTTTCAGCCAATGATATTTCACTGAACATAATCAATATATTTTTTTATTTTAAATACTTACATGTATATAAAACTAAATTTAGTATATATTATATATAATATATAAAAATATAGATTGTTGAAATAAATAAAAATTATGTATTGGTGTTTAATGAAACGTTAATGACTAGCTGAAAATGACTATTGAAAAGTAATAAGCGTGTCAGAATATAATCGGAGAGATTATTTTATCTATCGATTTATGGCTACGCCAGGTAATATTACCGAAAAGAAGTATCGAAGTTGAACTTCCGTCAAAAAAGAGAACGGTGAAAATTTTTAGTACCTGTTAATCCCTGAGTAACCCGTTCAGTACCCTCGATTACACCGTCGATTACCGCGTAGATGGCATACCAAAGGAAATTCCTTCGACTAGCGCAAGATACGAACTGTCGTCTTATCGGAACAATATCATCATCGAGGGATTATCGTATCGTAAGTGGTCCATACCACGATCGATTCTCTATAATTTCAACATTCGCATTTAACACTTTTATCGCAAAATGTCAACGCTCGCTCGTCAACAAAGTCACGAGATGTATTTTACTTGGGTCCTGTTGGCGGTCACCAACCGGTGTCTGACACGGCACGAGCCGTGAAAGTTCAGGCCATCGTCGATGCTTACTGCGATGCGAACGCGTTAAACAAGTTTAACGTCCCTCCGTGCTCCTCTTTTGTAAACCCATTTTTGGATAAGAGTGATGCAAGAGCGTTTTTACCTAAAATGTGTCTGTATTCTCAAGTTTCTCTCTTTTTATGCAGTCGATATCGAATAACGAAAATTCGCCGATTAAGGAACAAGTAATTGTTTGAATCCCCGATCGGCCGATACCCGTTTGTAGGCTGATCCGCTCGTGTAAGCACGGAGGCAACACCAGTCGAGCGTAAGTACAGATTAGCGGTAACTCTCTCGGACGCGCGGCGCGGAGCAATAGCCGTGTCCCATTCAGGTAAAGGCCAGTTTACACGCGGTTTCTCCTCACTGCCGTGTATTCCTATCTGCATTAAGCACGGACGAATCGGAATAAGAAGGCATAAGATGTATGGAACGAGCGATCGATGTATTAGCATCTTTTTCAGAGAGAGTGTCAATGTAGATCTTGTTGTACAAAACTCAAGGCAAAATAATATTCGTAAAAATATTGTACTGGTATTGAAAATGTTCGAAAATTTATAAATCTTGTTCCGATGTCGAGTGGATCTTTGTAGCAAAAATCTCATCTTTCTCGATTTTATTAACGATTTTATTAACGATTTTTAATTAATATTGAACAGTTATTTGAATATTTATATATTATTTATTTGGATTATTATAATATTTGATTTATAATCCTTATGATATATTTTAATAAAATAATAATTATTATTTATATGTCATCCATTTATTTCTCAAAAAATATAAGTCTTTACGAAAAGGCAATTAATTATAGTGAAAACGCAGATGACTCATACATATACAATGAGAAAACCGCGGACGCATCTAATTTACAAATATGTATATGTATAACTTCTTTTAAAAATCAATAATCTTGATAAGAATAATCTTGGCAATCTTATTGTTAGTCTTAGTACTGATAATTACAAAGTAAAAATCTTGTTTTGATTTTGTGTTGAATTTCGAGACAAGACAAGACAATATTAAGATTTGTACAATCCTAAGTTACATATCATTTTTTTGACAAAACATATAAATGTATTAAAAATATATAATCGGTTTAACGTATTATATTGCTTCCAATTGATAGTAATTAAACGATATCAAATCAATTTTGAAGAATTTTTAATTCTGTATATTGCAAAATATTTTAATGTAATAACACGAAGATTTCTAATAAGATAATCTGAAAAAAAGTATCTAGAGTAGATTGTAATCGATTTTTTCTGGATTCGTAATATTAAAAAAAAGGAATTTTTTATATTAATTTTA